CCTTCCCGTGGGCATCCAGGTGCCTTCTCCTGGCTGGCTGGCCAGGAGAAGGCAGTACAGAAAGTGGGATAATCGCCATCTTTGCCTATACGGTTTAAAGTGCTGCCCACGGGTTTTCTCCAGGTGCTCCGGTTTCCCCCACTTGTGTAAGAACTCATCATTCATTCGTCGAAAACTTAAAAAAAACAATTCAGGACCCGACTGTGACTCAGTGTGGATTTCCTGGAGTAAGTCTATTTTATTATTATACAGAATTAAAGGGGCTGTTTAATGACACTACTAGAGAGCTGGCTTGCACTGCGAGGAACTTAATATTCAACTTGGATTCCGCAACCCTCAATGGCCTTTTTAAGTTAAATTTGTGCATGTAAGACTCGCACAAACAACCATACCCAGAAACCCATAGACCCCAACAGAGACCCATACATTCCTACAAACACTCAGACTCACACAGCGACCCCATACTCACAGAGACCGATAGACATGCACAGAGACCCATAGCCTCACACAGAGATCCATACACTCAAAGGCCCAAAAACTCACACAGAAATCTATAGATTCGCACAGAGGTCAATAGAATTAGAATTTGAATATTTATTTATACTGGATGCATCTGATGAGCTATAACGATTTGTTTTCACAGACGTCCAATCTTGTGGGTCAGAAAATAACAACAAAAATACAATACAAAAACATCACAGGAAAGGTAAACAAATTGTTTCGAAATATACAAATTAAACTGAACTCTTTTTATCTTACCATAGACTCATACAAACATGTTGGACTCGCACAGAGACCTTAACCACTAAACCTCGAACAATTAAAACCCTCTAAACCCCTATCTAAATCTATAACCATCTAAACCGCTAACCCTCTCAACCCATTTACCCTTACAACCCTAATCTTTAAACCCCTCGCCCTCTAAAAGCTAAAACTCTAAACCACCAAAACACTAACCATCTCAACCCCTAACCCTCTAAATTCCTATACCCCTAACCCTCAACCCCTTTACCCTTAAAACCCTAACCCACCAAAACCCTCACTCTCTAAACCCCTTATTCTTTTAACCCTAACCGTCTAAGCCATTAAAAACCAAACCCTCTAAACCCTCTGAATCCCTAACCCTCTAATCCTTGAAACCCTAACCTTCTAAAACCCTAAATCCCTAACATTCTAAATACCAACCAATCTAAACCACTACCCTCTAAAGAACTAACCCTCTAGACCCCTAACCCTCTGAACTCATAACCTCCTAAATCCTCAACCTCTAAAATCCTAACCCTCAAAACCCTAACGTTCTAAAAACCTAAATCTGTAACCTAATCCCAACACATTTAAACCCCAACCCTCTAAAGAACGAACCCTCTAGAAGCCTAACCCTTAAAACACCTATGCCCCTAAAATGCTAACCCTCTAAACACATAATCCACTACACCCGGAACCCTCTAAACCCATAAAGGTTTTTTTTGTTAGATTATGTAAATATAAACATGTCGTTAAACCAACCACCACCCGAAACAGTCAATTAGTAAAATTTGTCACATCAACAAAAAGTGCCATTTAGTGTTGGAGACTAACCCAAAAAAAAACTTTATTATGGACAATATTAGTTGTGAAAGTCTAGGTGTTAAACCCTCAACTCTCAAACCACTAAACCCCTAACACTGTAAATCACTAACCCTTGAAACCCCGATACCTCTAAACCCCTAAACCTTATAAACTCCTAACCCTCTAAACCACTACCCCTTTAACAATAAACCCCATAAAATATCTAAACACCTAATTCTCTAAACCGAGAATCCTTTAAACCCATATCCTTCTAAACTGTAACCCTCTAAAACCCAACCCTCAAAACCCCTTTACCCTTAAAACCATAACGGTCTAAACCCATCACCCTCTAAAATCCTAACCCATAAACCCCCAAACCTCTAACCCACTGAACCCTTAACCTAAACCCTTACAGTGAGGAAAAAAAAGTATTTGATCCCCTGCTGATTTTGTACGTTTGCCCACTGACAAAGAAAGATCAGTCTATAATTTAATAGGTTTATTTGAACAGTGAGAGACAGAATAACAACAACAAAATCCAGAAAAAGCGCATGTCAAAACTGTTATAGCTGATTTGCACTTAATGAGGGAAATAAGTATTTGACCCCCTCTCAATCAGAAAGATTTCTGGCTCCCAGGTGTCTTTTATACAGGTAACGAGCTGAGATTAGGAGCACACTCTTAAAGGGAGTGCTCCTAATCTCAGCTTGTTACCTGTGTAGAGGTGATACGCGCTGGAATTAGAGATCGTATGCCAGCGCGTAATGATTGGCTGTGTAGGTGGTGACGTGCGCTGACGGTGGAGGATCAGGGGTCAGCGCGGGGTCGTGGGTTACGGGGTACTGATTGGCTGTGGACCGGTGACGTGCTGAGAGGGAGTGATCGGTGGCAGCGCGGTGTGATTGGTGGAGGAGTGTTTAACACGCGCTGGGGAAACCGGATCGTAGAGAGAGTGCGTCGTGATTGGTTCATTAAGGAGCGATGCTCACGCTGAAGTACGCATCAGCTCCGCCTCTCGTGAGCAGGGGCTATAAAAGGGGATGCACACAGGCGTGAGGGCAGTGTGTAACCAGCGAAGAATGAAGACGGGGATGAAGACCTAGGGCCCTGCGGTACCTAGTCCCGCTGTCCTAACGGGACCGGGACTCTGTGTAACCCAGAGGCGAAGTGTAGTGTGTGTAGCCATAGGCATAAGGTCTACACGAGCCGAATGCAGTGTGTGTAGCCAGGGACATAGGGTCTACACGAGTCGAGTGTATTGTGTAGCCAGGGACATAGGGTCTACACGAGTCGAGTGTATTGTGTAGCCAGAGGCGTAGGGTCTACACGAGTGAAGGGTATCGTGTGTAGCCAGAGGCCTAGAGTTTACACGAGAGTAGTGGAGTGTGAAGTCGGAAGAAAGGAGACTACACGTTGTATTTTGACACGTAAAGATTTAATAAAAAGTGTGTTCCCGTCAAGAAGTTCCTGCCGTCAATTCCCATACTTCAACTGGCGTCAGAAGTGAAACGGTCTTCCAAGCATGGATACAAGGAGGAACCGTCGGACCCACGGGATTGACCACGGGGACAACCTCGACGACGCGGGTCAACTGGCATCGGGGGGTGAGGAAGAGGAGTTGCCCACAGGGGCAGGATCCGCCGACGGCGCCGGACGAGCCACGGGGGACTGACGCCGTGCTTCGCGAAGCGCACTCCCGTCTGGCGGAGCTGCTGCTCGCCGCCGCGTCCATCTTGGCGGAGATCAGCTCGTCGGGAGGAGCGGGAACGGCGGCCGACGTTCTGCAGGGTCGCCCTGCAGATTCCCGCCAAAACGATTTGGCGATGGCCGCCATTTCATCTGCACCGACTTTTGGCGGGAACGGCCATCACCACGTGG